AAAAATGAAATTTCGGCGTTTTTTTGAGTTAGAATTATTTTTGTGTATTTAAAATTTAAAGTATATTTAATTTATGTGGCGTTTGTATCGATCCGTCTACTTCTTAAAAGTTCAATATTTCAACAGAAGAACATTATTTTTAGCTGAAACTTTCAAAATAATCTAAGTATTACTAAATCTACCTATCGGAAAAATTTTAAGCCAAAATTTAGTTATTGAATTCGTCGATAAATATCTAAAATTAATTATAGAAAAAAAAACAGTACACCATTTTCTCTAATATCACAGAAAAATAAAAAATTTCTTTTGAAGTTTTAGTATAACAATATAAGATAGAGACTACAATAGTTTTGAATTGATAAATACTTTGTTTTACTTGAGTAATTATACGCATTGAAATATTATTTGCAAATATTCTAATAAATTTAAAAAATAATTTATCATGAAATGTTCCTGAAAAAGACTTTCTTTTTTGAGGACAATATATCGCACTACGAGTTCAGACTCGATCATAGATATAACATATGGTAAATAAGTGTAGACTCTATATTTAAAACTTAAGTAAAGAAAAGTCACAAATTTAACAGATGAATAACGTTTTTTTATTATTGTAGAGATATTTCTCTAGTATTAAACTATACTCATTTTGCTTTTTTTCTTAGTCAGAATAAACAGACGTAATGTATTAGTTTCTTCAATGTTATCTTCACTAAAAAATTACTTTCGTAAAGTAAATATTTACTATTCTGATTCTAATCTAACTCTTGAACAGCGTGATCATGAAAATCGTTCGAATATAATCGCTACTCGAATCTTTTTGATTGTTCTTATAATTACTCTTATCATCTTTATTTTGGCTTTTCAATTAAGTTTCCGAACAACAACTGTTACAGTATCTAATCCAACTCAAGAACAATTTGAAAATTTACCTTTTACTACATATTGTCCATGTTCTCGTATTTCTATATCTTATGATCAATTTACTAGTATTAATGTGAGATTTCATCAAGTTTGTTCAAGTGATTTTATTTCTGATCGATGGATTCAAACTATTTTTACCGGTTCAAATACAACATATTTTTATCTTAAAGATTTTCGTACTTATGGAAGTGCAGCCTTTCAAGCACTTGCAAGTTTTTGTCATCTCTCAAAAACCAGTGCACTTCAAAGTGTTACTTTATTCAATCAAATGTCATTTATTAGCCCAGAAACATTGACTCAATCAGTATTTCAATCACAAATTGATGCATCGATTGAACAATTTCAATTAACAACACCTAATGAATTCAAAATTCAATTAAATTTAGTACAAGCAATAACAACTCATAGTAAATTACAGAGTGGTGTTCAAACAAATTCTCGTTTGAATTATTTCCTTACAGATAATCAGCAATTCACTGTAACGAGAGCTTCTTTCAGATATGTATCTATTAGTGGTAATTATTGCTATTGCACTGTTGATTTTAATTGCCAGCTACCATCTGTAATATATAATTTATACGGAGCAGCTACTCAACTTACTGTGAATAGTAATCCAAAGATATTAATGCGTATTAATAGATTTAAACTTGGTTGTTTACCGGTGAACGCAATTCTTTTATCAACACTTGAATGTTTTTACAATCAAACATGTTTGAATCAACTTATTTCGTTTTTTCCTACAAATGAAAAATTTCTTGCAATGAATTTTTCCGAACAAAGTCGTTTTGCAATTAATTCAACTGTACAAATGATTGTTGATGAACTTATGATAGAAAAATGGATAACAAATATTTCTTATGATAAATATTTTAAACAATGTGCACCTAATTTATGTACTTATACAAAAAATGAAAAATATACTTTCACATTTATATTAAGAAAGATTATTAGTCTACTTGGTGGATTTACATTAGTGTTGGGCTTTATTATTCGACTTATAGTGGGATTTATCAGACGATTACCAAGAACTGAACCTATTACATGTAAGTAAAATATATTTAATTCTTCGATGATATATATTTAAATTTGTTTCTAAATCATTTTTTTTTCTAGTGTGTCAACGGATTAATTATCTTTTTCGAAAAATATGGACAAAATTAAATATGTTTAAATATCATGAAAGTAATGAACATGAAGAGAGATATCAACGGCTGAGTACACGTTTATATATATTTATTCTCATTATTACTTTAAGTATATTGAGTGTATATATATTAATCGAGAAAGGAATTCATCGTATAACTATTTTAAAACCAACAGAAAATCAATATAAACATTTTCAACAAAGCTATTCTAATAAAAGTATATGTCCCTGTTCTTCTATTACAATGACTTATGCAAATTTTATTACTATTCAACCATATTATCATCAAGTATGTTCAAGTGATCTTGTTTCTTCTCAATGGATTCAATACAACGCGAAAACTACTACAGGTCTTGCTTACGCAATTCTTGATTATAGACTCAATTCACAGCCGCAATTTCAACTGCTTGCAATGTTTTGTCAACATCAAGCTCAACAAATAGTTGATAATGGTATTAAAACATTTCTTCAAACACAATTTGTTTCTTCACAAATCGATTCTCAAGATCTATTTGAATCAAAAATCAATTTATCGATATCTGATTGGCAATTATTAATGTTAAATAGATATCTACGTCCTATTAATATCATTCGAACAATAGCTCAAGGAAATTTATTAATGAATTCCGGTTTAAATTACAAGTTTTCTACAACAAACTCAACTTATAGAAGTATAAAAATATTAACAACCAACTATTCGAATTGTTTATGTGCATTATCTTCCCAGTGTATGCAAATTATGGATATATATACACAGAATTCGTCTACTTCTCCATTTATACGAACATTGCGAATTCGAAATTTTTATATTGGTTGTTCTTCTGTTGAATCTTTACTTAACTCAACTTTAGAAACTTTTTATAATCGAAGTGCTATGCTTGAAATCGATCAATATTTATATGCTCCTCTCGGATCATCTTTCAATTTTTCTGCTTTAAATCCAACATTAAGTTTACCAAATGAAACAGTTGAAACCATCGTTAATCGACTTATGATTGATTCATGGTCATTAAATATTTCTTTTTCTTCATATTACCAAGCATGTGCTCCATTATCATGTACAATTGAATATATTGGTAAAAATAATATATTAGATGTTATTACATCTATCATTGGTATATTTGGTGGATTATCACTTGGATTAAAACTTTTTTTTATTCTTATTCTTCGTTCTAGTGAAAAAATAAGGAATAATCTCTCATTTATTGCAATGAAAACGGTGATAAAAAACTTATTTATATGTTACAATCAACAACAAATGATCACTCGACTTCAAATATTTTTTCTTACAATATCATTATACTGTATATTTCTATATTCTACTTATACAACACAAT